GGAACATGTGGGCTGGACATGGGGGGCATACGGGCTGGACATGGGGGGCATGCGGGCTGGACATGGGGAACATATGGGCTGGACATGGGGAACATGTGGGCTGGACATCGGGGGCATGTGGTCTGGACATGGGGAACATATGGGCTGCACATGGGGAACATATGGGCTGCACATGGGGACCTACGGGCTCAACATGGGGACCGTACGGGCTGGACATGGGGAACATATGGGCTGGACATGGAGGACATGTGGGCTGGACATGGGGAACATGTGGGCTGGATATAAAGACCATGCGGGCTAGCCAAGAACATGTGGGCTGGACATGGGGACCATGTGGGCTAGCCAGGAACATGCAGGCTTCACCCGGGCCAGGCGTGGGGCAGAGTTGAACATACCACATGTTTCTGTTTGGAACGGCTGTATACCACGCAATGCCAGTGTCTTGTGTGTAAAAACGAGCGGGGCTGACATGGGGCCCATGTGGGTTCGTCAAAAACATATGGCCTACATCTGGGCTAGGCATGGGCTGGATATGGGCTGGACATGGGCGGACACATATGGGCCCTTTCAATCGCCCATGATCAAAAACCACATGGCAACTAGTGGGATTACCAGATGGTGCCCAAATCGAAGCCCGGCTTGCGCCCATGTGGGGCCCACATCTTTGTGCCGTCTACTGTGGAAACTCTTGAAGGTCGTAGCGGACATATAGGTGAGACATCAGGGTGAAATCAGGCTCTCGTCAAAATAATGAAGTCAAAGAAACCAGAATTTTTTTGGCTGATGGGCAATTTTTTTTTTAAATCGAATTTTTTGGTTTTGTTTTTTTGTTTGTTTGGCTGAGCACCTTTTATGTCCATAAAAAATACATTTCTTTGTGGATTTTACTTTTTTTTAAAAGAGGCACAGAAAAAACAAGCTTTCATTTTCCAAGAACTCTCAATCTATGGAAATCAGCAAACTTTAGCTGCCATTTTTTCGTATTTTATCTCGACTTCTATTCAAGAGAGATGAATATTATTTTCTTAAATCAAAAGCAATACAAATGAGCTTGCTTTAAGATAATACGAACAACTCCACGTCATGATTAAAAGCTGACGATCGCCTGATTTCACCGTGTCGTGACTCACATGTCGGATCAGCAACAGGCCAAACCCAGTGTTGCAGCTAATTTCGAACCCCCATACACAGATCAGAAACACGAATTTGCATATTTTATACTACACACCTTGTTGCCTGCCCTTCTAAGTTTCAGGTTAAAAGGCCAAAATTGAAAAAAATATCCGTATAAATAATGAAGGTGGGCTTCTTACTTAAAGAACCCCAAAACAGTGCGCCTTGAAGCGGGCAAAGTGCGCGACCTCAGTGAGCTAAAGGATAAGGTCAGGCTGCTCCGTTAAGTCAGTTGGTATCATGCTGGACCATGGAGTGGACGGCCCAGGTTCGAATCCTCAACAGGGCATAGAAGAAATGGGGCTATAGGTGTTGTTCTTTTCTCGTTTTGTTTATTCATTTGTTATTGTTGTTTGAGGTGGTGGTGGTGGGGGGTTTTGTTGTTGTTGTTTTTTGTTTTTTTTGGGGGGGTTGTTGGTGGGGTTGGGGTTTTTTTGTGGGCGAGGTGACGCTTTTAAGGCTCTGAGCCCAATTGGTTTGGTATTATCGGAGATAGTTCAGCTCCTTAAATGACCTCACTATGTTGAAAGGAGAGTTATGCTTTTTTTTTCTTCCCTTTTTTTTGTAAGTGTTATACGGTCTTCGCAACTTCATAAGGTCATATGAGCGCCCGGGACACATTAAACATACATGTATCCAGTTTGGTAAGAATTTTGAATTTTTCCTGAGTGGAGGCCGAAGCCTACTCTTATCAATTTTAGGACCACCAAGTGAGTTAGATCTTTCATACCATATATTAATAATAATAATAATGATAATAATAATAATAACAACTTCGTCCGTCAATGTCTGACGACGACTGGTGCATAGCCAGGGAAGAATATTATTTCCCTTGCGAAACAGATGAATTAAAAGTTAAAATGACTTATGGCTTCTGCTATGTCCGATGAGACCAATCCTTGCTGGGGAAAGGTTTGCCACATCGCTACCCTAGAGCCTAGAGTTACAAAGTTTTGTCTGCGCAGTGTATAGTTTTTGAGAAATTGGTCGCTTTTAAGGACAAGCGGTCTAACCCAGATTTCGGGGGTTTCCAAAAATCTTGACCTGCACCTTAAGTGGGCATTGCCCTACCTATAGGAGAAGTTTGGTTTCACTGGTGTCTATATTTGTTTGGTTATAGAGAAAACTATCCTTGTCTTTTAAAGAGACTGAACAAGGGGCAAAAACTTCACCTTCGATTGTCTCAAAACAGCTTTTTTTCGGGATAGCCCCCTTGTCCTTAAAGTGACCAATTTTGACTTTCACAACGTGTCAAGCTTTTTCAAATGCAGTTCTTTAAATATGTTGGTAATGACTCCCAACAATCTTACGATTGTTATAGAGCAGATAAAATACTTAGTTTCTGACGTCATGAAAGTAGTAATTCAAAGGAGTCAAAAAATACCAAATAGAACTTTGTAATTATAAGGTAACGGCATGTTGAGCTTTAAAATTTGTTTTCCTCTCAGGGTAAAAAAACCAGAATGGATAGCCACGTTCAGTTTCGGTTACGCTGACGGATACAACAGACTTCTCTCCGGCTCAGGGTGCCTCACCGACGAACAAGGTCTGTTTTTAAAGTGTCCGTTTGTTTGCTGTTTGTTTGTTTGTTTTGTTAACGTGTTTGTTTTACAGAAGCAGATGTCCCTTCCGGCCTTTTTAGGGACTTATTTTGGTTATCTCAAATGAGAAAGGGCCAAAGGCGTTTGTGGTAAAGTAGTTAGGCACCACGCTGTCTCTCGCAGAAGACCCAAGTTTGATTCCGTTGGGGGGGG